ATCTATGGGATTACTATAGTATGGGTTTCTAACCTCATACATAAAATAAGATAGGAAAAAACATGGGTGCCATATTTGGGTCACCTTATAGGGAAGGCGGACTTCCTTTAGAGAGAGGAAGGTATGTTCCTTATAGAGAATTAGGAGCTTATGAAGGAGCTACTAGAGAAAGAAGTGAGCTTCTAGTGTGAGAGACGGTGCATCCATGTCTCATATAGAGAGAGACTTGTTTCTTGTAAAAAAGCTGTTCTTATGGAGATTTTCAGTAGTACCCCCTCTGGAAGAGAAAATTGGTTTCTTGTTGTTCTCACATCTTGATTTAATGCGTCCAATAATAGTTCCCAAAAGAAACAAAGAGAAAGAAAAACGATAGGTAATACTAGTTGGAAGAATAGTTTTAAGGTTTGCTCAACTGGGTATTATCGATGGTTTGTCATATTCATAGATGCAGCCTTTTGGGGGGTAAGAGATCCGTGTAAATATTAGTGTTCTTGTAATTTGTGTGTGTTTTTTGTTTCGTTCCTTATGCTCGTATTATGATTCATACTCTTACTGATTCCACTTTTAGCCTGCTAAGTGCATGATTCTGGTGAGATTCAACTTTCTTCTTGTATCCTCATCAAAGTGGCTTCTTAAATCCTAACAATCAGGAATCAAAAAATTGAACAATATACAGCTGATTCCAATACACAGGAACAAGAAGTTCTCAAAAGCACTGGAGTCGCCTTTCTTTAGACATAGAAAGAGAGTTAAAGAATAGGTTATATTAAAAAATAGTATCTTTGAATGAGACATTCAAGTTCTATTTATATATAGAGAAAATGCCCTTTCGACACTATTTAATATGATTGTTCATTGGACCATGAACATTATCAGTTGGGTGCAGTTGGCATACGGATACGGATGCATCCTTAGCCTTAGAGGTAAGGTCCACCTTCAAATTTTATCATGATATATAATTTTGATGTAAAATGTTCTTAGGATTATCTCAAAATCTATTTTTATATCTAATTATAAAATTTCAAATTTCAAAAATGATTAAAATCAAGTAGATCCATAAACATATGAAAATCTTGAAAATAGACGGTGTAGATAATATGTTGTAAAATGTACTATTTCTGAGACTTAAAATCTTTTTATTTTTGATGGTCATATATCTCGATGTCGAGATGATCAAATCAAAAAGTTTTTCAACATTAAAACCAACTTTTTCGATGGATTTTTTAGATGCATCCGTAGTTCTACATTATAAGGTTGCATCTTTATATAAACTTTTTCCTCATCAGTTATGAGTATTATGACATCCAATTATGTTGGGATCAACACACAAAACTGTTTGTTTTTTACCTTTCTGGCTCCAAAAAAATCTTCTTCAAACTGCAATATCTATGCTGCTAAACAGCACCTAAACATCCTACTATGGTCAAATAGGCTATCCACAACATATATAGTGCAGCCGAACAGCACCTTAAGGCCTTTTATTTATTTTTTTTGACAATAACATCTTATTGTTTTTCTGCTATCAAAACAAGTTCGTTAGCACAATTGCACATAATTCAACGTAAGCGATCTACATGCATGGAAGCAATATACTTTGGTGAAACTTGTTTCTACGTTGCTACTTTAGTATGATAATCGTTGATTATGTAAAAGGGAATGGGGGTGGGGTATTTGTGCTTATGCGGTTAATGCCACAATATAAGTGTTGGGGCAGTGATTTTATGCAACGGTTGTATCATAGTATGATGCAATGACATTTCTAAAAAATTATGTTTGTGATATTTGCATGACTCAAAATTTTGTACACGCACTCTCTTCATCTCAATAATCAATCCAGAAAAAAAAGTTCAATTTAAACCCTAGATATGGTCAAAATGAGTCCCCTCCAAATCTAAACCATTCATTTGGTGAATTTCAAGATCTTAGCCTTTATAAACTCAAAAATATTATTTTTCTTTTTTCGCATTGTTCATCAATTAATAATAAAGCCATCCAAAAAAATTGGAAATGCAAAAATCTTTCTAAGGCTTAGATCTAAGCATCTCATCAAAATGAATGGCATATGTTTATTGGGCTAAAAAAATACTTTCTAGGTTGTGTGTCCACATTTTTCTTTGTTGTGATTGTTCATTAGAATGAAAAGAGTGTATATTTCAAATTTTAGATCAAACAAATAGCTATACATTGGTTTTTGAAGGTTGTTGCATCATATTATTATTCAACCGTTGCATGAAATCATTGCCCTGACTATTGAAAGTTATAGCAGCAAAATATTAAGTTTCTTATCTTGGGAATTATAAAATATTAAGTTTTTGAGTTTCATATTTTGTGGGATTACAATTATAATAACATTTGTTTCCTAAAATATAAGAATTGTAACTTTATAAATCTCTGATAAATCAGAGTAATCCCTATGAATGAGATACTGGTTTACCCTCCGTAGACGTAAGCATCATTGTCGAACCACGTACCATATATATATCATCAAAATCTACATGGTATCAAACCCTCAACAATAACATCTCAGCCTCCATTCCCACCATTAACATATTGAAAAGAAAAAGAAAAAGAAACAAAATGTTGGCTACATAAATGAATAGCAAAACATAACCTTAGAATCATTTTTTTTTTTTGAGCAATTCAATGGGGAGGAGGCCTCCACCCATTTGTTTTTTTTTTTTTTAGATAGGTTAAGGAGCTAGTTTTTTAGAAGGTACCAGCGGCTGGTAGGGTATCTATTGCATTGGAAACCACAACGTAGTAATGGTGTGCTACCACCACGACCCAACTCCTTTCCTCCAATAGTTCCATTTGAAAAGTGGAAAATGCACATCAACCGCCTACTCGTCCCATGCCCTACATAGGCACTCTATCATCTGTATCATGAATAGGGTGGACCTCTTTATATATTTGGTGGGGCCGGATTTGAATATATGCTCTTAAATGTTGTATTATCCAAACTTAGATCTCTTGAAGAGTCAAAAAGGATCAAATCAAAATCAAATACAGTTGGTGGTGGGCGTGTGCAAATTTGTGCTAAATTTTGGTTTGTAATTTCATTTTGATTTGTTTTTTCTAATTCCAAGAAATTTTAGTTTGGATAAACCAAAATTTAAGTGCACACATCGAAAACAACCATCATCAACTTCAAGGAAAGCGAGTACAAGGGACCAGGCACTTATCTTGGTTTGTAAGTTCGTACCCTCCCGGACCGGTGTAGCCGATCCTTTTAAGATCTTAGTATTTTGTTTTCGGGAATGCCATGTACTTTTCAGTGGCACCTCGAACCAGATCCACAAAATTTCATCGGAAAAAGGCCCCAGATTGGGAGAAATCCTCATAAGAGTGGAGTGGAATAAATTATGAGTTTTTAAAATTGCATAAACATAGAAGTAGCCTGAATTCTTACGAACTTTTCATCATCATCCGGCATCGAAAGCCCTTGAAAGGGCACATAACGGGAAAGTTCACGTCCAGGAAAACAACATACTCGAAGCTAGTAACCAAACTTCATGGGGTTCAAGAGAAATCAGTGTGGGAAAATCGCTAAAAAAAAAAGCTATTTTTGCATATTCTTTACCCAGTTAAAATTTTATTTTATTTTTGTAGTTGAGGGTTTTCAGCAACTTGCTAACATTTTGCAAGTTTGTGAAATGACCACCTTTGTAAATTTTCTCCTTTTCCATACTCCACAACTGTGTACCATATTATTTGAAAATTAATTTACCATGTCTTGGTCCTCCTGCATCATTTCGAGTTGAATTTCTGGAGATATCTTCAGGTATTTTGGATTATCTTTAGGTTCAATTTGGGGCCGATTTTGTTGTGATCATGCTCTTTCTATTAGGTTCTCCATGATAGATCTGGAGGGCTCATAGCCCTTATTCGTAGGTCCACCATCCAAAATGAAGATCTCTTGAGTTTGGGCCCAGTTTAAATAAGTTTATGTGCCTTCCACCATTTTTCGTATTTCCGACAAATACATACCAAATTCCTGTTGTCACAGATCTACGACCTATGGGTTGTCCTTGTTCGGAACCAGCACCAACCCTTTTTATTAAGAACTTCTAAGACCCATCCTCCATTTCAAATGGCCCTTTTAGATCTGATTCACCACCATGTGCCTCAAAAATACATCAACCAATATTTGCCCACGTTCTTCGAGGTTGGGCAAATGGCTCACCTCTTCTCTCGCTACAGTAACACAAAGAGTCAACTCTATGGGACAATATTATTTACAAAAATACTATTTTGAAATAACTCCTAGTGTTTTTCAATGAAACATAACAACATTTTGTAGCTGCAAATGTCATCACGCTAACCATTAATATTCGTATACTTGAACACCACGTTGTCATTACTTCCATTGGGCAATTTTACGCTTATTCCGGCAATTATGCTATACTTTTAGCATCAAATGTGTTATTCACATAATTCTAATAATCATTTCAATATTAAGATGAAGCGGGATAGTCTCGTAAGGTAAAAGTTTATGTAAGGCATCAACTTTATGCCATAAAAGTAATGTGCACCTCAAAAATCTATTGAAAAAAGTTTTTTTGATATTGGAAATAATTGATCATCTTGACCTCAAGATCTATGGATATATTAAAAAAAATTAAGTTTTTAAAATAGTAAATTTTGCAGCCACAACATCATTTTCAAGACTCTTTCAGTGTTTGTAGATTTGTTTGATCTGCATCAATTTTGGAGATTTAAATTCCACAATTGAGGGTCAAAATAAATGTTTAAGCATTTTTTAGCCCTAGAACTATAAGTTTGGAGATGTGCCTTACTTTGATTATTTAAGATTGACGCCTTGTATGCATAATACCCCATTCATAATATATAAAAGTTCCTGAACATCTGTCGAAAATTTTTTAGTAGAGGTGATAATCTGGTGTGTGATGTGATAATTTAAACATACAACGAAATCTCTCTCTCTCTCTCTCTCTCTCTCTCTACCATAATATGTTGAGTATCTCAAAACCATAATCAAGAAAGCCCACTGACTAGCAACTCTGCTGCAATTTGAAGTATATTTACATTCACTACCAAGTCTCTCTGTTGACCAGCAACTTTAGTGCAATATGGAGTTTATCTACATGCAATATCGCCTGTCCTCCCAAGAAATAAACCAACAAGCTTATTCGATATACATAAAATATGCCCACTAAGTCCAAGTAACATTGCATTATATCCAACTATTTCTTTAATTGCATCCAAACTCCTCATACATTATCATGGAAATGCCTTGAAGTGGTGGACCTGAAGGTTCTCAACGGTCATCTTTTTGAAATTGCTGAGCTTCCTACTTGTGAATAAGTAGCCCCAATTGTAACCTGAATATTTTGGGGGGTTGTCCTTGGACAACAATTCTTCAAGGGGTTTAATGAACTCATAATGGGAGGGGTTATAAAAGAAGGGAACAGAAAACCTCTCCCTTTTAGAGTTCACCACCACTCTATGCTCCGCGCTCTCATAGGCATCGTTGCTCCAAACCTGGCAAAAATTTAAAAATTGCAAAAGATAAAAATGTATAATCTTGGGAAGCCAATCTGGATTGGCGATTTGACTGATTCTCCTAAACGAGAATTGGTCAATAAAACAATTTAAGACAATAAAAAAAGACAGAAAAAATATCAACCGTGGGAAAGGGGTGATTTGCCTTCCGCTAATAGAATCAGCTGGTTCTCTCAAGGAACCAAAGGTATCTATGGGAACCGGCTCAATTCCCAGCTCTTGGTCAGAATTGGATCGGTTATTAGCTCCCACCAATTCCCCAGTAGGATCTGACAATTCTGATCTGGATCAGCATTTTTTAAAACATTGTTGTAGAATGATCCATATTTGTAAATCACCGATTTGGATTTTCTTAACTTTCCCCCAAACAAAGAAAAGGAAACACACAGATTTGGATTGGGGAATCAAGAATCTGAATTGTGACATCTTGGGCACCCATTCGATTTTTAAAACCCTAGTGACAAGGTGGTGATAGAGGCAAAATGAGGCCCGTCAAACATGTCAAAAATGCAATTCTGCACCAGGGCTGTCAACATCACCGTCCATCCTATTGAGTGGATGGGGATGACCCCTATAACCATATTGTATACATCATTATTAGTATCATACTACACTTAATGCTTATATCAAATAAAATCACAAATATAGAAGCTGTACCTTCCATTATTTGGCATGGAGGGGCCAAATAACTCATTCAAAATTTGAACAGAAGCCATCCAAATTTTGAATGAGTTAGATCTAAGTGTTTTAAGTACTCATGATTCAATTTTCTTGGTTTAAAAAATAAGCATTTGGTGATTCTTAGAAAGAGTTTAAAATTTTCATATAAAAAATCCTTCAAAAGCAACTCTTTAGCACGAGGGAGAAGTATACAAGGGGCTAGATTTACAGCATGAACCAATGGAGCATGTCTACTCTTAATTAAATTGCTACTCCTTTTCCTCTATCAATCCCCGATCTTTGCTTGGCAACAAAAACAAACAATCAATTTGAAAAAGGAGGATTAACCAAGAAATAGGCCATTTAACATACCTGAACAATATCCCCTACATTGATTATGTAAGAATCCAGCACCGGCTTCACTGCAACCCACTTTCCATCTTTGCCCCTGACCTCTAGGCCACCAACCTCATCTTGGGCAAGCACCGTGAGGGCACCGGCATCTTTGTGCCTTCCCACGCCTAGTGCGACATCGGGACAAGGGCATGGAGGGTAGTAATTGAGCCTAATAAAACTGGTTTGGTTCTTGAAGAACCCATTTAAGCATGTTGCAGACAATCCTAAGCTCAATGAGATGAGTTCCAGGAGTTTGATAGCCAGCTTTTCAGTGGCTTTGGCATATTCCTCGCAAGCTTTTCTACATGTAAAGAATAAAGAAATAAATAGAGGCCGTTCAGAAATAAATAAATAGAGGATGATTGGATAATTGTTTTATTTAAATGCAATATCTTTCTGAAAGTTCAGTTGTAAAACAGGCTTAGAATTTGAAACACATCTTAAGCCATTCTAGATGTATTTCTAAATCAGAACTAGGATTTTGCATATCATAAAGTAGTGTAAATGATCTATGCAAAAGGAAAATAAATTGTGATGAATAATCTAAAACCAAAGTTTACCTCTGCCATTATTAACAACTACAAAGAGATCATTTATTTTAAATACAAAGAGGTTACAATTACTCTTGTCCATCATATTTCAAATCAGGTGGCTGTGAGTATATCGCTGATTAGATTCAAATTTCAAATAAAAACAATTATCAATCTTTGTGACATACCCCAAGCCATCCAATTTGACATTGGCTAATAGCTACTTGTGACCCCTTGCAACGAATATAAATAATCTCATAGTGCATAATCCCAATTGAATTGAGTTTTGGCGATTAAAGAATGGAGATTAGGCCTTGAGGCCTACACTCCTTCCTTTTTGATATTAGCTAGGCCCTCGAGACTGATGGACAATAGAATTGGAAGCATGCCCATGTTTCATCACGAGGGAGAAAATTTTGTAGAAACGGTCCCTACATAATTCCTAGAGGAAAATAATGTAGTGGCTCTTTTATGGACACTTTTCAAGATTTGTTTGTGTTTTTGAATCTACCCAAGAAGTTGGTCGCAGGAATGCATTGACCTAGAATTATATTCCATCAAGCTCAAAAGGACAACGCTGCAAGAGAGAACAGGGCAAGTTTGACAAATTAGTAGATGCACAAACAATGTTTTATTTATGATCAAGACCAATATTTTGGGCAAAACCACAAACCAATGAGAACATTAGAAAAGGAAACAAGAAAGGAAGAACACTATCATATTATGAAACCGCAAACACTTTGGGCATTGTGTGAATGGGGAAGAATAAGGAGAAGATCTCAAGTCTCGAGCAAATTTCCACTCCTCTCATGGTACTAGTTGGACTGGAGTTTTAAAGTGGAAGGAGTTGATGCCCCGTCACTAAAAGGGATTGTCTACACACGGAGATATTATGATATTATCTACAAAGAGATCATTTATCTTGTCGTTCAAAAAAAAAAAAAAAAAAAGACAATTTATCTTTTTTGGTACAAGAGCGCTAAATTCATGTTTGTCCCTTAAATTTCAAAATGGTTGATTGTAAGAGTATCAATGAATAGGCACAAAGTTCCAAAAAAAACTTATCGGACTTCATGACTCACGCCAACCCATCAAAATTTGATGTCTAATGAGTAAAAATAGTTGTGACCTTGTAATAAAGATAAGGACGTGGTTTCCATGAGTCCATATAGAAATGAGTCGCCTTTTAAAAATCTATTTTTGAGATGGATTTTTTGACCAATTTTTTAATGACATGTAATCTCTAACATGGAGATCATGAATATCAAAAAAAAAAAATTGAAAATTAAAAATAATAATTTTATTAAAAAAACATTTGGAATGTTAGTTTCAAGTGTTTTTAGATGGACCACCTATTTGCATCCATCTTTAAGATAGATGCTTTATACCTTGGGCACTGCAAATATAGAAATGTGATCCCTGTTGCATGAAACGATTTTTCTAAAGATAAATGGTCTCTTTGTAGACAATCCCTTCACTAAAAGGAGAGCAAATGGGGGTTTTATTTGAACACCCATAGAACAGTGACTCAAAATCGAATATTGGTATAATTATGTAACGATTAGTTTATTTTGTTGAGTTTAAAAAAAAAAAAAAATTTATGCCAAGGGCCTCCCTTTTTCTTTTTTTTAAGAAAAAAAAACAACAAATTTGCCCCAGTTGCTATTATTAATTGTTTTCTTACAAGTTCTGCCGCCTCGTATTGACTTGCCTAATGTGCAAATATCAATAGTTTGTAAATTACTTTGGAAAAAGTTTATATAAGGATGAGACTTTAAACAATCAAATTATACGCGCTTCAAAAATTCACTAGAAGAAGTGGTTTCGATGCCCAAAAATCCTAAAATTCTTCATCTCGACTTCAAGATGTATGAACATGAGGAAAAATGGATTTCAAATATTATAAATAATACATCTTGTAATGCGCTTTCTAGATCGTAGATTTTTAAGTTTTTTAAGTGTTCATAGATCTGCTCAATCTACACTATCTTTAGCAGCTTTAAATTTTATAATTAAAGATGAAAATAAATTTTTAGGCAATCACAAAGATTACCCGTACTTAATCAATGTCTTTCGATACTATTTGAAGGTGCACCTTACTTTGATTGTTTAGGGCCTCAGCCCTATATAAACCCACCCAATTACTTTTAAATGATTGAAAGTTTAAGGTTCTATTTAAATGGGTTCCGCCTCCAAAAGTCCATATTAGAGACGGACTCAATCTGAAAAGCATCTTTAATTTTGCGGCTCACAAGATTGTACATATCTGATCTTTTGCAAAGAATTAAAATGAAGGAAAAATATCTCGACACCCTTTAATTTCAGGTTTCATTTCACAATAGAACTAAGGTTTTAAAAGATATATTGGGATATAAAAATTGTAGATTTTATTTCTTCTAACCCCTAAGCAACTTTAAATATTTTTTTTAGGCCAAACAATTCTAAAAAGACATGCATTTTCTAAAAGTCGTCATCTCAAAGTTCTCTCTCTTTCTCTCTCCACAACCTTCTCTTTCTCTCTATCTTTGCCATCTCTAACCCCTCCATCTCTCTCCTTCCGCTCTCTCTTCACATTTGTCATCTCTCTCCTCCCAAATACACAGTAAGTATACGAAGAGAAAGAGAGGTGTTTGGATAAACACAGGAAGAGAGAGAGGTGTTTGGTAGTGAGTGGTTATCAGAAGGAGATAAGTGTTTGGATAAACACAAGAAGAGAGAAAAGTATTTGGGTCAACACGGGAGGAGAGAGATGCTTGGTGGTGAGAGGTTACCGGGAAGAGAGAAAGATGTTTGGATAAACACGGGAAGAGAGAGGTGTTTGGATAAACATGGGAGGAGAGAAGGAGTGAAACCCGCAGTAAGAGAGAGAAAGAGAGAAGTTTGAGGTATATAATGTTGGGTTTATGTGGCCTTTAAAAGCATTATGAGTGTGTAATGAAAACATTTATTATAGTGGAACATAAACTCAGCGGGAGTGTGGTCCCTCAAGGACCATACTAAACAAATGATGTTTGGTGATACCGGACTGTGCTTGACGATCTAAGCCAGTCGGTTGGAAAACCCAATGTACCTGAGCATAAAAAATAAAATCGAGAAGGGTTTACCCTTGATGAGGTCGGAGCTTATACCTAGATAAGTGAGTCGAGGGACTGTGTGACCTTTGTACGTGAAGGTAGGCCTGTAGAGACGAGGGTCAAAACCTCATTTATGATCCATCACACGGCATGCATATAGATAGATCGTTCGAAAAAGCCAGATATCCACATTTGGGTGAAGCGTATGCATATGCGAAAGATACCCCTATGCGTTATAGAGCTGTGGTGGCATCAGGTCGTAGTGACCTTGACTTGTCTCTAAGGGAGGACCTGTAATCCACAGACTGGGATTGCGACTCCTTGGCTCATTGACCAGATTTTGTTGACCCGCTAATGAGCCCCTGCTTGGACTGTGGGTCATGAAAAACACTAGGTCGGTTCGATAAAGCAAGTGTGGTCTGTAGTCCACAGTTGAAGGTGAAGTACCCCGTGATCATTGATGGAATTCTTGAACCATATGGATCAACTTCCCATCATATTATTTAATTGTGTTCATTTTATTATAGAAATTATTTTAGATTTATTATTTGAATTTTTATGAATCTTTCAATATTTTATTTATGATTTTTGAAATAATAAATATGAAGTTGTTGATTTTACAAATTATATAAAATTCAACTAATGTTTAAATAAAATTTAAAAATATTTATAAAATTTTTATGGGGGCTCATAGTGCACATGGGCCCACCATGTGGCAAATGGGTGGGGCCCCACTTATGCTACATATGGGTGGCACGCCCCACTCATTGCTCCCTTTGTTATTACTTTAATATCAAGTTTTGTAATTTTTTGGAAAGTCCATCTTATAAGCATATGGTTAAATATTGTTTGGGAAATATTGACCATATCTTATCTTGATTATTGAAGGAATATCTTGACTTGAGATGGATTATGCAAATATGAGATGGATTATGCAATCTTATGGAATGCATGATATTTTAATAGATTTAACTTATTTAAATATATTGATGGGAAAAACAGTTTAAGGAAAGGGGGATAATGGTTCATGCACCTTCCATAATATTGATGGCACATCAATGGAATGGATGGCTCAGATCTCTCACCCCACAAGTCAATTTGATCAACAGTTCATATTCAATCTCAAGAAAGAGGCAAACAATAGGAAACCCTAATGAAACCTTAGACCTAATTTCACTATAAATATGGGCGCTCTCCTCCCATCTCTACACACCTCTCTCTCTCTCTCCCTACTCTCTCTCTCCTCTACTACTACTACTCTT